CTCCCCAGGTTCATATCTCACTTTATTATCTAATAAACTCTTTGTCTAACTATCACTGAGTATTTAGTTATCTTTATTTCTAGTTAATGTATGTGTGTGTTCGTGTGTGTATGTGTAGTTATAAGCTGAGAAAAAATAACAAGACAAATTAACACTATGTTATTACTTCAGGCTTCAGCTGCAAATACTTTTGCATTTGAGCTTATTGGCTAGACTCTATGGATGATTTTTCATTTCATATTGTTTGCACTGAATGACATGAGGCCAAAAGTTCTGCATTGCCTATTCAACATTAAAAACTTAAATACCTTGATTACTTGAGTTCTTTTCTGCTTGCTTTAAATATGTGGCCACATTTCTCCTCCTTTCCTGGGCTTGTAACTATTTTGCTTCAAAATTTGGTGGGATTGTTGTCATCTCAGTTTTGTTTGCCTGTTTTTGTGAAAAAGAGAAACCAACTTTGAGTAGCTTGGTCAGACAAATTGATAGACATGATTCAGTGACTCCCAGAATCAATGTCCCAAGAAATTGGAAGAACTCCAGGTGATGAAATCATGTGTTATAAGCTTGAATTTTTGACAGAAAGTAAGTTTGAGGTGACTATATTAATAAGACTTATTTTAGAAAAAATAATGTACATCACATATGTATGTGAATGGTGGGTAGTGACATTCAATTAAAAGAATGAAAGCAGGGCCTCCCTGGTGGCACAGCAGGTTAAGCACAGTGCTGTGAAGCTGTCCACAGCCTCCTCAGCACAGGTTTGATTCCCAGCTGGCCAGGGAGATTCCCACATGGTGCGGCAGACCACTTCTGTCTTGCCTACTGCTCCCCTCAGCAGTGTATTTCAGTCCTTCTGCCTGTTCTGCTCCCTGCTCTGTCTCTGGTGGATTCTCTCACCCTTCTGCGCCTCTGGCCTGTACCTCAGTGCTCGTATAAATAAATAAATCTTTAAAAAAAATGAATGAAAGCAGTCACAGGCATTGCAACATGAAAAAGCATGCCACAACTCTTTAATTTGGCTAGAGGTTAAGATATGAATGGAAGAGTCAGGCAGTGACGAAGAGTGACATGATAGTCAGTCATGTAAGTTAACATGTATATTTACTCTCTTAGTTCTTTGTTGGGGCTGGTCATTTTGTTGGTTATGAAGTGGAGTAGGAAAATTGCACTAGTCATTTCAAGTAATTTTATTATAGATTATCTGGGTTAGTGACATCCATAGATTCAAAGAAAAGAATAAAAACGTCTTGATAAGTGTGAATGAAAGAATAAGTTATAGCCTACCTGCCTGCCTGCCTTCCTTCCTTCCTTCCATTGAACATAGGCTCACATGGAGACTGTAGTAGTCATGCTCTGTATGGTCTCAGCCCCAACCCCAACCATATACTTTCTCTCCCAGAATGCTGGAATTGAGTTTGATTTTAGAACCTGTCATTGTAGAACACATTTTAGAACCTGTCATGCCCCTGAATCAGTTTGATTTACCAATGAGAAGCACTTGCAGCAGCGGAGTAAATACCAGAGAAGTGTGGAAGGCTTTTTTTCTGCTTTGGGTTAAGAAAGCAGAGAGATTTCTGGATTCCTAAAACACCCTGTGGGGGTTCTTTCAGTTCTGAGTGCAGTGTTTCTATCACCATCTCCTGGGGTATCATAGTTTACTTCCATCAGCACACCTAGCCTAAAGTTAGTAGTAGTTTTCTCCAGTTTAACCTCTGAGAAAAAGTGTGCTCACCTTTGGTTATACTTGTCTTTTCAATAATTTCATAATTAAATTTTTTCTTTTCAAATCAATTTTACTTCAATTAGACTTATGTCTAATGGTATGCCTAGGAGACAAGATGTTGGCATTGAATAGGATGTAGCAGCGGAGATGGGGATATATGCAGGTTTGGACTGCATTTTGCAGCAGAGCCAACACAATTTATTTGTAGATTGGAGGTAGGTAGTGAGGAAAATAAGAGGATCCAGGATGATCTCTATATTTGGATTTATTATCTGGAGAATTTACTGAATGCCTGAAGAGGAACAAATTGGGCAAGAAATGTAACTGCGTTGAAATTTTATCTGTGAGCATTTAAGATGTCAGAAAATGCCTACTAAGAATGTCTCTCTTTGTAACATTAATACAATTTAGAGAGGAAAGGGACTGTGCTTATAAAATTGTGTCATTTAGAAAGACATATTATGTTAGTGGTTAAAAGTGTACACTCCAGAAACAGACTATTTCATTAAGATTTTATGTTACTTCAAGGATTTTCTTTTTAACCCAGAAAACTAATAAGAATTTCATAACAAACACATATATATCTGCCACACAAATTGACAAGGACTGATGTGAAAAAATGAAAACTAATATCAATCTGTGACTACACTCTTTGATAGTATTTACTAATTTTTTTAATTATAAAAGTATTAAAATATGATGGTTAACTTGTACTGATTCCTTTCCTTAGTGCTTACTTCCTGTTACCTATTATGAATTAAACCAGCTATTTGTTTTTCCAGTCTGCAGTTTCATGCTTTCAATGCATGTACACGCACCTGTGATTGGTATACGCTTTATATGTTGTTTTAAATTTACTTAATGGGTAGAATTACATAATAATTTATATGTATAAAATATAATTTATATCATTTATATTATTAAACACTTATATACATTATTTTGATCTCAATTTTCTCTGTGTGGGGAGGGTGGGTTGCGTAGGGGGTGGATATACCTGCACAATGATAAGCCCCAATAATGGCTACCTATTAAATAGCAAGGATATTAGAGAAAATAGCTTTTTTTTAAAGAGCCTTAATTAAAGAAGGAAGTAAGTTGAACATATGGTTCTTTTGGTGTACCTTTGTTCTGTCAATTCACTTGCAATAAACTGCAGTAGATACCAATTATATGTAAAAATATAAACTATGTAAAAATAAACTACAATAAACTATCTATTAATCTAGTATTGCCATGAGTTAAACTTTAAGTACTATATTCCATGCAGTTGTAAAGTCTTAGAAGGTAAAACTGTAACAATCATCTCCATAACTTTAGCATGTATAAAGTGTTCAACCCAGAATAAGCTCGAAGTAAATGTTTCCTAAATGAATCAATGAAGAAAAATCTGCTATTTCATGCAAGTAAAGATGCCTTTTTCTGATATAACCGACACATTTATAGAACAAATTGAGGAAACAAACTGACTCTCCAGTACTTACTTGATGCTAGAACTAGCCACAAACTGCAAATATGAGAACTGCATGTTTGAGAAAAAAATGGTTGGCAAAGATGATAAAACGTTAGAAAAATCACCCATGGAATACTTATTCCTATTTGAACATGACACAAATCACATATTAATTTATTAATAATTTATTAATGAATCAATTTTGCTTATTTAAAATATCTTGCCGTAACAAAATACACTGTAGCAACAATTCTCACCTGTATATAATATTTTTAAATGGTGTTTTAAACAGTACTGTTTCACTGCACACTCTCATTGCATTTTTGAATCAGAACATATTTCTTAAAAGATGCCTTCATTTCATAGTACTTTGTTTTCAATTATGTGCAAATATGTAAGCAACTATAATATAAAATATTTATAAAATACTCATATTCTCATTGGATATGTTATCCCAAATTTTGTCATCCCAATTCACAACATACTTACCTAAGTCAGCTGCATATTGAGTAATACATAAAAAGTTATAAAATAAATTAAGATCATGTTTGTTCTAAATATAGCAAGCACTACATCCCCAATGGGTATCCACATAGAATAAAAATTAGATATTCAGCTCAACATAGTAACTAAGAAATAGAAACATACCACTCTAATCAATGTCATTAAAAATCAGTCACAATTAACACATGACAATAAAACTTTCTGTACAGTGAAAATATTTCTGAATCACACATGATAATTATTTTGAACAATACACAGTCCAGTGAAATTTAGTAACTGGGACACCCTTTGTGACATCCTTGGTTTTAATCAAAGCAAATTTAACAGGAGAGATTTTAGGTAAGTAGTTTTTCCCCAAAACTGTAAATCTACTATTTTTTATCACTAACTTTATTTTAGGGCTATATTTTTATTGTTATGCAATTGAGAAAGTTTACTTATAAAATTTATATAACTAAGTATTACTACATTGCAGGCACAATTAAATAAATGAATGGTATATTTTTTCTGAAACACATATGCGAAAATATTATCAAAATGATGTGCTGAGTTCTCTAGATGTCTACAAAAACAAATAAGCCCTTTCAAGTTTTCTAGAAAGATTTTTTTCTTTTCTGAATGCAGTTTGATTCATGTTTTCCAAGCAGCAAGTTAGACTGCAAATTCATGGGCATATTTGCCATTAAGCCTTTCTGTATAATATATAAACACTAGATCACCTAATAGAGCCCTATCTCAGTTTCTAAATGGAATTATTTATAACATCTTTGGAATACAATTATGTGAACTATACTTAACCATCTGGGCATTTTTTTTCTTACAGATGACTTATAATGGCATAGTAAAATATTTTGTTTGTTTATAAGTTTATTTCTTATTAAACAGATATGATAAAATTGTTTAGAATGACATTTTTCTGGCTTTCAATATAGGGGAGTCCATTTGTAGCAGGTTGTTATAACATGATATAACAATAGCATTATTAATATTAATAAAATGCTAACAGATACACTGAAAGTATGATTCAAAAATGTTGAAGAATTCCAAAAACTAAAGCATACTCCAAATAGTGTCCGCCTGCATGACATAGTGAATAAAAACTGAATAATCGGAGTCAGTAAGTTATACTTACTGGGCAAACTAAATGATAAAATGATTATACAGTTTGATTGATAAAAAAATATAGTTCATTAAAATAGAGAATAACGGGCCTCCCCTGGTGGTGCAGCGGTTGAGCGCTGGGCTGCGAGGCTGCCCACAGCCTCTGCAGCGCCGGTTTGTTCCCAGGCCGCTGGCGAGGGTCCCACAAAAAAAAAAAAAAAAAATAGAGAGTAACTCCACTAAGCCTCTATTCAAATGCCACATTTGTACTTTAATCAGAACAAAAGACCAACATTAACTAGAATGCAACATAATAATTCATAATAATGACTGCATATTAATCTCTTGAGCTTGCTGAGATACAGCACATGACATATGGCACAGTGCAGTCACCTGTGTGGTCCTTTGGGGACTGAGGTGGTGCATGTTAATTAGCCCCTGGAAAATAAAATCTATTTCCCTATGAGAAAATCTACCTTGATTCTTATTGGCTTAAGACATCAAAAGAATTAGACAGAATACTGTTAGTCTCTGTCTATACTCATTAAAGCTTTGTCTAGATGTAGGCAATGAATCAACATCTCCTGAGTTAATTCTTGACAGAATCCTGCTTAAGAAATTAGGATAGCCATGCATTTCTTTGGCCTCAATGATTGGATTTGGCAGAAAACATCAAAATTACCATTTGGGTTACAGAAAAAAAAAAATTGTGTGATTCAAGTACAAAAGAATCTTCACAGAAACACATTAAAATTTGAAGCAATTTCTCTATCTGGAATGCTGTATGAAACATCCTCAATTTAATCCTTTGCTTTGTAAATTCAGATACAATCTGAATATGAGATTATAAATGTCTTTATGAAATATGTCACCTCAATAAGCAAGGTCTCAAGACTCTTGGCAGTCCCAGGTATGCTAAAGGCACTTCTTGAAGGATAATGGAAAAGTATTATGGAAAAAAATCTTTGGTTGATTAACAGGTAAATATATATTGAAATGAATAGATCTTAAAATTATTCCTCAGAGTCAAAGAAATGCGTAACCCCATAATAACTGGAGAATAATAACTTGAACAAGAAAATTGAGTGAACATGGTGTTGGTGAGAAAAGTGTACATTTTAAAATCTTCTTTTGCAACACTTTCAAATTCTTGCCATTTGAAAGTCGGCATTGCATGAATTAGTCACCCTTAACTGAAAATTAGTAGCACTTAATGTGATGCATAGTCTGCTACACTTTTTTTTAAAGATCTTTCAGAATAGTAGATTCTAATGAAACTTTTAAAAACTAGCTATTTAAATTCATGCCAGAAATACTGAGTCACTAGTGCTGGGGGCAGAATCTTTCTTTTCTCAAATATCACATTGTTTGTTTTTTCCCCTACGTTGTATCAATGCACCTGTGATGAAACTCTTATATTTTTGACATTTTTATTGGAATAGGTGGACCCATTTACCTTCCACTCCACCAAGGTTGGAAATTTAAAATAATTCTTTTCTATTAAGGAAATGTTCATCTAAGTCATATTTAAATAGCCTTTGATCCTATAAACCAATGAGATAACAATGTGCTACCCTCAGAGATAGCTTAATATTTTGAGTAATTAATTACATATTACAGAATGTCTCATGAGAAGGTTTTTTGGCTAGGTCTGCCAATTTACTGTGCAAATAATTACGGCTTTTGAGGCAAAGATGCTGATTCATCATTAGTCAGAAGGTAACAATTTATTTTTGAAATACCTTTCTTTGCAATTGGGAAACCTACTGCATGCTAAAATTTATGTAATTTAAAAATCAATCAGAATGAACTAGTCCTTCATTACAAGCAGTTATTCCAGTCCATACAACATCTGATAGAATGGCTGGTTATAAGAAGGCACCAGAAAAGATCATTTATAACCCTATCACCTCAGGGAGAGCTAGATATACTTCATGAGAAAGCCGAGCAGCTTAGATTCCAGTTTTGCTTTTACTGTTAACCAAATGTGTGACTATGTTCAAGTTCCTTAATCACTTTGGCTTCAGTGACTCTTATCGATGGAGTTGATTATGCTTTCCCTGGCTGAAGGCAATATCCTAAATCTTATGGCTTAGACCAAAAAGCCGCATAATTTTCCTTTTGACTCTGAAATATACACATTTCCACAAAGGGCAATATCCTATGTGTTCCCTGCCTGAATCCAAATTTCAGGGATATACATTTGCCACACTTTCTTAGAAGACTAATCATGTATGATTTGTTATGGCCTGGCACAATCCTATGAAGGATGAGAAATATCATCCTTCAGCAGCACTCTGAAACTACTACCAATAACCCAAAACACTTATTATTAAAATGCTTAAGATATTTATTTACTATTGGGGAAAAATTGAAATGATATAAATATGGAGAAAGCATGAGGTAATCAAACCATAGCTGTAATACACCCAAGTAAGAGGTTTGTTCCAGGCAAGGACATAGAACAGCATCTATACTGTTTAGTTTCTTCATATAATCTCCTAAATAGTCTAATAAAAATGGTAGCCCATAGTCATCTTCAATTTCTAAATAGCAAAACCATGTAATTTAGAAGTGAAGAAAACAGAATATTAAAACCTTTATATGTGCAATGTAGTTTACCTGGCTATACAACCTTTCAACAAACATATAAACAAAATATTTTCTGCTGTCAATGCTATTAGAGATTAAGGGAGTAAATTACTTAGAATTTTGTTTCAAAATGATAAACTATTATATTTGTTTTTCATTCAACTCCAAATGAAGAATCTCGATGAAAACATTTAAGTTCCTTTGGTATAAAGAATTTTATTATTTGGTCTGTCCCATGTCTACATGTTCCACCTCTCTTCTGGTGTGATTTCTGGAAAGACAGTTTGATATTGAGGCAGCAGGTGTCTGGTCCATTTAACACTCTTCTCTAAACAGTCTCAAACATATAAACATTTTCAAACAAAAAAGTACATTGGTTAAAATGATTGGTTAAAAAAGTAAGGTAGTTTCATTTTTCAAATGAAAATATGTGCACACAGAAATTCAGATGAAAATGGATTTCTGCTTGAATTATCTAGCTAATTACCTCCAGTATCTCCCTTGCCTTGAGCATATAAGCATTACTTATGGTAGGAAGAGTTGACCCTTATAAATCAATTAATCGATACTGATGAATTCTTTCCCCTCAACTTTAGCTTTCCTTTAAACTGAGATTAGGGTTATGCTCATCCATAAAAAGTGAAGACTCTGGCAATGCAAAATGGGAAGTGGTGTGAGTGTTGTTTTAGGTAGAGAAAATTCACATGAAATATTCTTAGGATATGTTTTCTAAAGGGAATTGCTTTATCCAAGACAAGAAGAACTTTTCTGAAATCAATTTCTTAAGGTAAGCTAAAAGTTTCAGCTGTCACCTAATAGACAGAATGCTGGGGTTTCTGGGAATACTGGATGCTATAGCCATTCAACAATAATGTCAATATGAAAAACTTCATTTGAGAGAAACAGTGAAGCATAAGAACAACACACTCTTAGAGAGTAGCACTGTATTTTCCACATAAAATTAGAGGTATGACTTCTGCATTTTCATCTAAGGCACAACTAAGGATTAAGAAAAAAATATCAAAAAAATATCAAATATCACAGATTTAAGGAGTTTTTCATTGATCAAAACAATTTCGTTCATAGAATGTACTTTTTGTCAGTGGCAGAAATAGCAATTTGATGCTTTTTAAGATATTTTGAGTTTCAAAGAGAAGCTTTGCTACTTTCGTGTGGAAATTATATTTAGTATTCCATGAAAACTGCCTTACAGCAAGGAACTTCAGCAAAGATACAAGAAGGAAGAATAATGTGATATGCTTTCATTTTAGAGTAGTTCTGTTTCATTTTTTCCACAGAAACAATACAGGAAGAAATAAATATTTTCTCCCTCATAAGACATACATCACTCCTGAAATTTCTACAAAATCAACTGAGGCAAATTAGGGGTTTCAAACCTAGTCACCTTATAAGTTGTTAGGAAAAAATTTGCATTTAAATTGCTCTGTGCAGCTACCTTGAGATTTTCCCCTGGAATGTTTATGGCTCTTTTTTTTTCATTAATACTTAAAAAAATACAATTTTATAACCAGTGTATTACTACATCTAGTTTTGTTAAGAACAGGCACTTCATGTCATAAAATAGAAACATTCAAAGAGGTTTTGGTCAACCAATCACTCAGAGTACACCAATTCTTCATATTGAATACTTAATAGTGAAAGTAATCTGAAACCATATCAAATCTCTGCTTCCATTATGGAAACTAGGTCATTAATAGCTCTAATATGGGGAATGGCAGCTGTTCCTGTGTTTTATCCATAGAAGCAAAGATTGTCCAAAAATACTTGGAACACCCCCCCCAAATATTTATTTATATATATCAGATTTCTTTCAATAGATAAATCTCAAGTATCATTTCAATAACTTGTTTTAACATAATCATATATGCAAATATAAGAAAAATATTAAATGTGCAAAATGCTCTTCCTATATGTACATTAAAAATACACAGTAACAATAGCTTTAGTTTTCTAAAAAAAAAAAAAGCCATTGGGGAAAAAAGTCTTCAATTTTAGAAAAGCTGGTCAGATTAGAGTTTTTTGCTTGAGGAATTGTAAACAAACTTTTTAAAATGCTGAGAGTTTTCTCAGTTCTTTCCATCCAAGACACTCTCAAACACATCAAGTCCTGCTTTGAAGTAAACCTGAGCTGAATTAATGCTGTTCAACACCTCTGACAGGGCTTCTTGAAGGGTTTCATTTGATGCAAGAGATTTGCAGTGCTCCCAAGCCTCCAGCAGTATGGAAAACTGGCTTGTCTTCTCATCAAGGTGATACAGGATATTTCTAAAAAGAAATATGAAATGTGTGGATTTTTTACACATAAATGCTATTTTCATGTTAAACATTGTAACAAATATTTCCATGAAGTAGTAATGTTTGCAATAAATTAGGAATGCATTACAGAAATACAATGTCAGGATTTTCAACCTCTAATGAATTAATAGATATAGATTTGATCATCAAAAATTTCCCAGTGATGAGAAAAAGAGAATGATACACAATGTAGCTCCTGATAGAAGCACACACTGCCATCATGAAAGAGAATAAAGTAGCTGTTAGTTAAAAACAAGCAAACAAACAAACAAACCTGAAACTGAATCTATGAGGCTTCTAAATCCAATTGCTAATAAATATAAGGATGAGAAATATGTAAAATTTTACTGTGGTATGTCATCGGTAAAATATATACTGGGATAAACTCTATACAGCAAAAGATAGGCACTGAGGTCACCTAATCCCCTTGCCAGACCCCTGAAAGTTATCTCTTTTTCTTACATATTCAAATGGATTCTGATGATATGCAGGTCCTCATTGAAGTGAGATACTTGATCCTAAAATATGTCACTTTGGTATGAGGACAATATTGAGCTGAAGACAATCAAAGCCTAACAGTTTCAGGAAAAGTTATTTTTAGTTCTCTTTAATTGCCTAAAATAAATGAGATTGAGACCAACTGATACTAACTTATTACTAGAGATAACTTTTTACATCACTTATTTTTACATGATGTTATTTATCTGCATGGTACAGCAAACACATGTTTACGGGACATCTGCTCTTGCCATCTCCCTGCGAATGGTCTTCCCTCCTTTTAAGTACCAGATTCCTACCCCTTCTCCTTAGCTCAGGATGACCCATGAATCTTGACTGACTAAAGATTGTGTTTGGGTCGCATATTATCTTTGGTACACCAATATACATAAAATTAAATTTGCTTTTCTCCTGTTAATCTGTTTCATGTCAATGTGATCATTAAAACTGGTTAAGAACTTGCAAGGGGAAAAGGAAAACTTTTCCGCCCTTACACCATCTTTTCAGTGTTTTCTTCTAAGTTGTGGTCCCTAAGCCCATATTTTCAATATATATCGCCATCTCTCAATTCAGGGTTGAAAAATATTTTACATTTTTATTGAGTGAAAGTAAGTGTCATGAACATAGAAGGTCTTGAATCCTGGAGATTTAATATACTTACATTTTTGCAGCCTTACATCAGTGATGGGGACTTAGTAGATCCTCAAAAATGTCAGTGTAAATTATATCAATTTAGGTAACTTAGCATTTTAATCATTAATTAACTTTAAAACAACAGATTTTTAGTACATGGTATGTGGTAACGGGGACAGAAAATCCGTGAACTCAGTTATTTCATTTTTTTTCACCTGAAACATATCATTTGAAATGAAACCTGTCCATAATAATTGGGTATTCGTGAACTTAGTGGCCATGAGTTTAATAGAGCAGTGTAAGAAAGATACTCTCAAGATTCCAAATATTCCTGAATTCAGCTATAAACCTTGCACTAAGAAACACATTCCCTAGATGTGGGTGAAAATTATCTTCTAAATGGGGTTCTAAGTGAGTTGTGAGCACTGCTCTGACTATGAGAAAAACACAGAGCTTCTTCCAGAAGTAGACACTCTATAAGCATTTCTCTTCTAGTCCAAGAGTATTAATACATTTTTTAAAGATTTTTTTTATTTATACAAGAACTGGGGTACAGGTCAGATGCGTGGGAGGGTGAGAGGATTCACCAGAGACAAAGTGGGGAACAGAACAGGCAGACTGAGGAATTACACTGCTGAGGGTAGCAGCGGGCAAGACAGGAGAGGTCTGCTTGCCATGTGGGTTGCTCTGAGGCTGGCGGGGATCGAACCAGCACTGCAGAGGCTACAGCCAGCTTCACAGTGCTGCGCTCAACTGCCTGCACCACCAGGGAGGACCCTAAGAGTATTAATATTAAAGAGATTTTCAGAAGAAGCATTTGAAACATGCTAAACTAATCATATAAGAAATTACATATGAATATATATGTATGTGGTTGTGCTTTTCATGTGTAAAAGTTAAGTTGTTCTGGTTATATCAAAATGAAAAAATAATGGGAATAACAAAATACCTTATGAAAGTTTGCCTCCATTATAGTTATATCAATTTTATATCACTAAAGAGGGAAAAAAGAAAAGAAACCAAATAATACACAGGAAACAATGCAACCATGACTTCTTTCCCAAATGGTGATGAAATTGTCTTCAGTAGTCTCAAGTATTCTACATGACAGAAAATAATTGGAAGCTACTTACTTCATATTAACATAATCTTTGAATTGACAAATTTTTTTAAGAGGAGTGGGGTTTTAGTGTAAGGATACTTATCAATCACATTTAAATTTATAGCAAATCATGTAAACATATATATGTAATATGTTTGCATACATACATATATGATGAAAAATCATCAGAGTGAAGTAATATGCATGTGTGTATATATGACAAAAGCCAGGTTTAATAATGAAGGTATTTTGAGAGTAAAAACAGTTAATAATATGTATTTTAAGTACTCCATCATTGAAAAAAACACACTCTTATGGACAATTAAACCTGCTTTACCAGCAAAAAAAGAAAAAGAAAATGAGAATAATAATAAAATATTTAATTATATTTCATAGTTATTTTTTGGAAAATATATTTCCAGAATTCCAGAGAACACAGTAGATATTTTGAGAACTTTAGCCTGATCATTATGCTGGCCAAAAAAAAAAAAAAAAAAAAAACCACCAAGAACAAAAACAAAAAGCATAAACTGTTTTTCCATAAATACCCCTAAAATGAGTTTTACCACTGCAATTTATATATTACAGGGAGCATGTTTAATGATTTGGAGGTTGTTATGGTGACTTTTCCACATTTTTTTAAACCTAAAGGAATGCAATAAATTCTTACATATACATTCTATGGTTATTAAATGTTAACTATTATTAATATTCAATTTAATGATAAGATATTAATAAAACATGCTCATAAAGGTTACAGGATTAATCCCTCAATGACAATGCATTTAAAAATGAACTCTGTCTCTAGTATATTTATGTAAAATTTCAGTTATAGCTACTATAAAATATCTAGAAAAGAGGTAATGTAGAAGAATAAAAATACATCCTAAAAAGAATGTTTAGCTCTAAAGCTGAAGAAATACAATGATCACTGGTTTGTTTGTTTTAACTAGAAAGCAATACATATTTCTTAAAGACCAATGCACTGAAGCCTGCAGTGTGCCACCATTTACTTTCTCTAACAAATCAACATGCTTTCATAATGACTATAAACAAGTCACATGCATAGAAATGTTTCTTTTTGGGTTTGCAAAATTGTGTAAGGAAAATATAAACATATTTTCCATATGCTATATGATTCAAGAAGTAGGCTGTGGCAAGCGATTATGTAAAATAAACATTCATATCCATTTCTACTCAAATAGTATACAAATCAGCATAAAACTATAGATACTGAGATTCTAGTTGAAGATAAGTGACTAGTATACTTTATCATAATTTAAGAGAAAAACTGCATTTGAGCTAGCAACTGATATCATTTAAAAGGTACTTTTTTTTTTAATAATACAAGGTTTTTCAATCTTGATAGATTGCTTTACCTTGAAAACAAATTAGAGGAAACAAAAATATCTTCTGTAAATTTTCATGAGATGGGTAGTTTCTCCTGATTTTTAGAAGTAGCTCACCTTTTCCTATTTATTTTCTTGTGTAATGCTTTCTTTGTGTAAAATGCCTTTGGCTTTCTGTTTATATAAAATAAATTTCTGTTTTGGGTGCCCTTTTCAAAAAAAAATACAGCATCGTGTTGTGTTATTTTTAATATCTGAATGGAAGATGAACACAAACCCAGCCACATTTATACATTTCATCATATAAATTTCCAAGTATTTGTTAGTTTTAAGAATTTTCTTCCATTTTCAATCATTAACTCTAAATACCCAAGGATTATACCTAGAATCAAAACCAGTCTTGTACCATTTATTTTTTTAAATTTTTTAAAGATTTATTTTTTATTTATACAAGAGCTAGGGTACAGGCCAGATGCGCCGAAGGGTGAGAGGATTCACCAGAGACAGAGGAGGGAACAGAACAGGCAGACTGATGAAATACACTGCTGAGGTGAGCAGCAGGCGAGACAGGAGAGGTCTGCTCACCATGTGGGTTGCTCCGATGCTGGTGGGGGAGGCCCTACCATTTTTTAATTATGCAAATGATTCCTGCCTTTACAAATATTTCAATTATATCAATCCTTCCAGTGAAATCTTATAAGACAAAAAAGCTCTTAGCTTTTTCATGCAGTGTCATCACAATTGAACTTCCGTAAAAAAGACTTCAACAATTTATACTACTGCATCAGAGTACCCAAATGTGTCTCTCCCTTTAAGTTGATAGACCCATATATTTCAGGGTAGGACAGACTCAACCAACAGCCAGTCAAAAATGACACCTATCTGGCAGGAAAACAGGATGGAAAGTCAGAAACTATACAGAAGGGATTTCCTGCCGATAGCACATCCTTTACAACAACAAAGAATTTCTATTTCTTAGTGAAACACTCCTGTACTTACATAAACTGGCTTCAGTCCAATTCAGAAAACTTTCCTTACAGAAAGAATGAACTGTGTTATTAATTTAATAAATCACCATCTTGTTTGCCTACACAAAACATGTATCTTAGTATGGCATGTAGAGACATCATACCTAATTAAATTATTATTTAACTGAAATCATTGTAGTAGTTATTCATGCTTAAAATAACATTAATTCCACCCTCATGCCTATATTCCCTCATCTGTAACAATTTGGATCTTATAAATGTAATTCATACAGTCATCCTGACCCACACACAACACAAGGATGCTTCTAAAAGGAAAGTGCAATACATTATTGATGACACTAATGAAATTAAAACACACATCACTCATTTTAACAGGTCTGTTTCAATGACACATCATGG